TTCCAAAGTTTGACCCCTCTTTCCATGAAGAAATTTTTCCTAATATCCAATCTAAACCTCCCCTGACGTAACTTGAGGCCATTTCCTCTCGTGCTATCAACGAGATAGTCCAGTCATTATCCTATCTCATCCTATATTAGTTAAAACTATGAGATCATGTAATCAAGTGTCTAGAGCTAAGGGCCAAAACCAAGGGGCAATCTTACTTCTTAGTCTCTCTAAATCACTGACTCATGAGATGACCTTGGGCATGTAACTAAATGTCCTTTGCCTTAACCATTCCACTGGAAAAATGGATAAAATTCACAGAGCCTTCACTTGCAACTGGACTGCGAACTGAGCTTTCTTGTCCAAATCATTTAGCAGATGGGGGAAGGCAAAAAGGAACAGCACTCCCAGGTGAAATCATGCCTTTCTGCCAAAAGTGACTGAACTACCACTAAATCTGTCCTACCTTTATGTCTTGCCAGGTATCGACCAAGGAGAATTATAGAACATAGTGTTACAAAGACAACTACAGCCACTATTCCTCCTATAAGAGCATGGTCAGGTCCGGTCTGTCCAGCCAAAGCATTTGGATCTAGAGGGAGAAAGAAAAAACAAAAGTCACCCTACACAGATAAAAATTGACAGGAAAATTCACAATACCAAGTTTTATACCTATCATCCTGAAAATAGGGCATTTCCCTCTTTAATATTCAGCGTGGTTATTCCCACTTTTACTACCAGTATCTTATCAACAACATAGTGCTGCTTGTATTCCCAGACTGTTAAAGCCCTGAGGACATCACAGTTATGAAAAATATTACCTTATTCTTCTTTGGCAGAGGTTATTAAATGGGAAAGGTTTCTGGTTTTGTCCTCGTCATTTTACAATTGAAAACCTGGCCATAGCTATTTATAGAAGGAAAAACAAGGAACTGAGAATTGGGGATCAGATAGCATCAGCAGAATAGTGTCTGCATAATACATAATTTATAGAACTGATTCTCAGTGGGGAACCCTTACATATTCTCTTCCTCTCATTCCTATCCTACTGCACCAGAAATAAAAAGGCAGATAAAGTGCAGCCGTGCCAAGTTCCTCCACACATGGCTGAGACTGCATGAATTTGGTCAGATAAAGGTATCAAGGCAACCTGAAAGATCATCATTCAGTCTCAAGCGTCAGTTTGTGAATTTACTATGAATACTTGATTAACACCCAATGTGAGCAAGCTGTAATAGATATAACAATGCATTAGCAGGTTCATTTTACTAACTCTGTGCAGAGCGCTAGGAATATTGCCAGGTTTAAGCTTTCTGTGCTGGTCATTTGCCTGTTCTGTTCCCTGGTGCTTCACAAAAGTTGCAGAGAGGCAATCATGGGAAATCGCACTACTTAGGGGTGAGTAATTCTTTGGAGCTTTTGAACAATGAACCAGCAACCTGTGACTGTTGACTCACCTGAAATATGCAAAAGAAGGTAAAAATTCAATCTAAGGATCATGGTAAGATTTCTATTTTAATGAAAATGCCTCTGCTACGAAGTAATAGTAATTCTCTGAAGATGCTATTAGCATGTACTGCATGTTGCAATCAGTCTGCTCTCAGTGCTTCAAGGGCATTTCCCTTATAGGAGCTGTTTATATTCTACAAATAGTTTGCAAACAACTTCTTTGCTTTGCAGAAGGGAAAGTCGGGAAAAGTATTTACACAGAAAAGAGGACAAGTCTGTAAAGATGACAGAAGGGCCTCTGATAATGCCGAGGAGGTGTGATTCCATGATATCATAATTACATTCTGCTGATCAGGATCGTGGTATAAGAGTAAGATGTATAGATATATCTACATACACACAAGTGTACATAAATATAACATTATATAGATGAAATAAAAGAATCATGTTTTCCCCTCCTTTTGCAAACTGTCAGGCATACTGAATCTACACTTTCAGGTTTGCTGGAGCACAGAGTGTTATGGCCACTGTTAAAGATACAGGTCTGCTCTTAACAGTCACTGAACCCGTCAGGCATGGCTTTGTCACTTATTGCTGGCTTTCTGAGCTCCCACAGGTTTCTCTTCTGGCTGCTAAGAGGACTTTGGGGAAGCTGGTCACAGCACTTCTGTAGACACAGTGGCAAATAGTAGGTATTGGCCTCAAAAAAGCTAGAAACACCTTATAAAGTCAGCTGTGCCTGCCCCTTCCTCCGTCTCCATGAACCTGCTGGCATGGTGATACTGTTGGTGGCGCTACGCTCAGTATCTAGAATCAGTCCAAGGGGACATCATCTATATTTTGGTGATTTAAAATGACCCCAAGTTCTGTGCGACAGCAGCCTCACAGGGAAAAGCAAGATGGCTGAAGTCTTGCCTCCCCAAAGCAAGAGCTTGGAGCATGCTGCCATCCTTTCCCATGCCTTGCAGAGGCTCTGTTTTCTGAGGGGAGTAAGCAGGAGGTGACTGCTCACTTGAGAAAATGGAAGGTGACAGCTTGCTGCAGGATTGTCAGCCTGCTTAAGCCATCTAGCAAATTCCTCTTTCTGTGCTGCCTGCAGCAACGCTGCTGTAAACCTCCTCCCTGCAGCAAAAAGGCAGCACCCATTTGGGCATTAAGGAGTAGCAATGTCCCCAAGTCCTGCATGTGACCTGCAGGAAATACTCTTCCCCAACACCGGGCCAGGAGCAGCATGAACATGCTTTCCCACTAAAAGCTAACTCCTGCTAGTATACTAGCAGTAAAATTAAAGAATGAAAGGAGATATTTTAAGGGATAATATACTTCCTGATGCAGAGTATAATCCAGAGAAGGGTTAGCACAGCACTTTATCTCGAGGCATTTTTTGAAAAGCTGATTGCAGTGTACAGCCTTAGCTCAATACCCAGATTTACAACGTGTCTCCTCTGTGAGCTTTAATAAACATCATAGATAAAAATCCTCACAATACAGTGAGATGAATATGCCTCTCTGTTTTCATTCTCAGGTGATTTCCTATATATAGCTACTCACTCCTCCTCTGACATACCTGATGTGACTACATGAAGTGACCTAAAGCCAGCATAAATATAAGCATCCCACCTATTAGTGTGGACTAATGAGACTCTACTGCCACTGTAGGTTGAAATTTTTAACTTTATAATTAATTTACATATTCATTGGAATGCAAAGCTAGTATTGTATTTCTGCTATAATCTCTTAAACTTGGTATCAAAGCCAGATTATATTGATAAGTATTGCTAGACAAGTTTGTCCATGAAAAAACTTGTACATGACCTATTACCATTATATTACCACTGAACAAATTATTTGTTAGAAAGAAAAAAAGGAAAGGAAGAAGAGGAAGGAAGAGATGGAAGGGAAGGACACAAAGAAAGATCCTCAAAAGTAGCCAGCATTTTCTTGGGAAACAAACCTTCTCTCATCTCAAAATGAAAATCTGTACAACATAAACAATATTCTGAACAGGAAGTGCACCTCATAGAAGTATTCTCCTCTTAGAAAAATAATGTTAGCATTAAATATAAATATGCTCTACATTATGCATACAGAGTAATGCATTATACTTTCGCCTTTCATGAAATTACCTAAGCCCCCTGAGTGAATTCTAGATCTGGGGCTATCTATCATTGTATAAATAACTACTATGTCAAAATATGCCTGAACAGTATCTGAATGACAGAAATACAGGGGTTTGGAAACTATGCCATTTTGTATTTTAGGTATTTATACAGTGAACATGTATAATTATCCAAGCGTTCTGGGCTTTTGTATTAGCAACTCCCATTAAAGTTCCTGAAAGTACTAAGTGTGTATTTGGGTGCTGACCACACCGCAGTTTGCTTTCCAAAAAACAGAACAGTATTTAGATTATTTTTAGATTCCCATTATAAGCTTCTTGGGCTTTACCAGGTAAATCCTACCCTGCCACACACATAACTCCAGCAAATGAAATCTTAAGTACTCAACTGTGCAATAAATACTTATTATCCAGCTGTTTCCATAAAAAACAAATTAGATTACTGTGTTCCTGTTTTAAATATAGACAGTTTTTTACTGCATGAGCACAGGCAGCTACAGTAGTCATGGCCTGAAACAGTGAAATTAAAATTGTGTAATTAGACTAGATCTTCTTCAAAGATCAGTTCTTTTTCTGTTTATTTCATCCTTTGATGAGACTAAGGGAATCTTATAGCAGATAATGACACAAAAGCTCATAATTCTCTTTTATTTGTTTTTGTCCTAAATTTAGGAAGCTGCTTCAAAATACTGATTGCTGATGCTGTGAAGTTGCACCCATTTTCAACTTCTGGGATTTGCCCATTACTGTTTGTGCACAAACCTACAGAAATAACACACTTAAAATGACTAAGACAAAAGAAAAAAATATCATTCATTGAGAAATGAAACACATCAGATAAATCTTAGACCTATTAAATAAGTAGATATGTGCTTTTTATGACCTGCTGACAAAGTTTCAGTGTAGAGTTTTTTTATATAAATTCACACATTAGTTAAGCAGAGAAATTTTGGAACAGTTTTTCATGCTTTTGCATAAAGTGAATGTTAATTATTCATCTAATTTCATTTTCTCCCTGCATAAGTTTCCTTCTTATTTATGCACAGTTGACTTGACTGAGCAGGTTGCAGGAAAGGGTCAGATAACCCCTTCCTGGGCAAAGGAGAACAAACACAATTGTGAATGCTGAAATGGCATATTTTGGGGAATATATGCTCAAGTAGCCCCCTTTATTGCAGAACTCTATTAACATGTATTTTTGGCTTAGGTGCTGAAGTGTTAAAAATTCACTCTGATCATGAGATGTACCCAGGTTTGAGGCATCCAAAATAATAACTTGTTTTAACCATTTCTACTAAATGGAAATAAAGGTCCTAATTTGCTGTGGAGCTTAAATAGCATTCACAAAATGAAGATGTATTAAGCAGATGTATTATTCATAAATTACTGTTCCTTAAGGCTGGGAAAAGAACAGGGCTGTCCCATTTCTCAGAGAAGTACTGAAACCACAAGCCTACAGTCACTTTTACTGATTTCATGAATAATCAATTGCTGAGGCAAAGTAGAACCGCTCCAGCAAGGGATCCTGGGGCATGGCTCCATGTTACAATTTATGTGGCAGAAAAATCTCTTCAAGTGACTCCTCCTTTCCCCAGTACCACTTGCCAATACTTCATACTTTTGCAAAAGCAATTGTTTGAAGGGTCTGGCTTAAAATCAGATCAGTAAAACAATGTGCAATTTAGGGTGGGGAAACCCAAAAAGCACAAAAAAATAGATAAATTGTGCTGTCATATTTGAAGGGCTGCTGAATTGTTGCAGAAGAGTGCAGAGTGAAAATGAGTGGTGGGAGCCAGTGAACATTTCTGGAGAAAATCTAGCAAGGAACCACAAATCCTGAGACATCTAAACCTGCTCTACTTTTAAGAGCCTTAGTTAGAGGACAGCAAACTGCAAAACCTAAGGGAAGCAAGTAGTTTTGGATTTTGTGAAGTCCACCAGTGAATGTAAGTTAAAATAGAAATACTACCCATTGAAATTTCTCTGCATTTCAGCTTCATTTCCTAAGGAGAGATAGCTTGTGT